AGTGCAACTCATACAGAAACACACAGACCTACACAGTGCAACACATACAGCAACACAGACCTAAACAGTGCAACACAGACCTACACAGTGCAACACATACAGCAACACAGACCTAAACAGGTGCAACTCATGCAGCAACACACAGACCTACAGTGCAACACATACAGCAACACACAGACCTACAGTGCAACACATACAGCAACACACAGACCTAAACAGTGCAACACAGACCTACACAGTGCAACACATACAGCAACACAGACCTAAACAGTGCAACTCATGCAGCAACACACAGACCTGCACAGTGCAACACATACAGCAACACAGACCTAAACAGTGCAACTCATGCAGGCAACACAGACCTAAACAGTGCAACTCATACAGCAACACACAGACCTACACAGTGCAACACATACAGCAACACACAGACCTACACAGTGCAACACATACAGCAACACAGACCTAAACAGTGCAGCTCATACAGAAACACACAGACCTACACAGTGCAACACATACAGCAACACAGACCTAAACAGTGCAACACAGACCTACAGTGCAGCACATACAGCAACACAGACCTACAACAGTGCAACACAGACCACAGTGCAACACATACAGCAACACAGACCTAAACAGTGCAGCTCATACAGTAACGCACAGACCACACAGTGCAACACATACAGCAACACACAGACCTACACAGTGCAACACATACAGCAACACACAGACTAAACAGTGCAACACAGACCTACAGTGCAACACATACAGCAACACAGACCTAAACAGTGCAACTCATACAGCAACACACAGACCTGCACAGTGCAACACATACAGCAACACAGACCTAAACAGTGCAACTCATACAGCAACACACAGACCTAAACAGTGCAACTCATACAGCAACACAGACCTAAACAGTGCAACTCATACAGCAACACACAGACCTACACAGTGCAACACATACAGCAACACACAGACCTAAACAGTGCAACACATACAGCAACACAGACCTAAACAGTGCAACACATACAGAAACACATAGAGCATCAGATAGAGACAATTGCATAGAGACAATTAGTTAGGTCTAAAACCACATGAAAAACAGACAACTGACCCTTTGTGATTTGTACACTATCATACATGTAATGGATTGATCATCAAAAAGAAGTCAGGACCATCATTGGGCAGAGCGACTAAATGTAATTATTGCAGTACGGACAATTTTTTTGTTTATTTGTCAAAATTTAGGCAGCGACAGATGAATTAAGAAAATGTCAAGAAAGAAATACTATGTATGGGTTATGATTGATGAAATTCAAACATAAATATTGTTGACAGCAATTAGACTTTTCTAATCGCTAGGCTGAGCAAAGTCAACGGTTTGGCTGACAGACTTCTAGAATCCGAACAAACAAATGCCAGGTGCGTGCATAATGTTAAAGGTATAAACATTAAGCTTTCAAAGATTTCCCCATGGTGGGATTGGATTTCTTGTGCGCTGAAATCATTTTCTCAACCTTCATAGTGCTTTCCAGCAAAAATTTTTACCGTGTTGAACACGGTATTTGATAGTTTCACAAGTTTACAGTGCAATAAATTTGTTACACGGAACTAATATGCTTTCTTTCTTTCTCGCGCAAGAAACTATGGACTTCATATATCAATTCCAATCAGTATAACGCCATTTATACAAACGAATTTTTAAAACTTAACTTTATTATGTTGTACAAACGCTTTCTCTTCTCTCGATTGCGTACAAACTTTTGTTACCCAGTCTTTGCAACTATATCTCTTTTTGATCCACTGTTTCTGTTCATATTTTATCTTGTTTAAACTTAGCGTACATAATAAATTACTTTTGTCAAAACTTGTCATTCTCCCCTACGATGTTTGCTGGTTAAAAAAGCAAGTCGAAGCTCTTCTTGAGAAAAAGAAATGGAACAAAGTAGCTTTTGTAAGGTTCTTGAGTTAAAATTATTGTTCTATTGCCAATAAGGGTGCAAGTAAATGCAATGTTATTTGCAAATGTGTAGTAGGGAGCTCATTCATCTTACAATCTATTCACAGCTCATCCCTCATCAAACCCATAAATATATCTATATTGTTTCCATGAGGCTGAGATTTTTTATTTATTTTTCCGCCGCAGATGTATTTGGTCGTTGCATTGAAACATCAATTTGGTTTTCTTCTCATTCCATAATTGCCGTTCTCATTTTTCTTCTTTAGCGATGAAGTAATGGTGTCATGCTCGTCTAAGGAAATGAAAGACGTCAATTCTGGAAAACAAATGTCAGCAGTTACAAGTTTTTTGACGGTTTATTTTGTTCATCTTTTAAATATCTTGTATCATATGCGCAGGATCATAGAGGAGGATTATGAAACAAACGCTGAAGAAAAACCCTCTTCTTCATCAATTCAAAGAAAAATGAAACAGAAAGAGGAACCATAATGGATATATTGGATGATGTAATTTCTGACTCAAACATTGAGAATGAGTATAGTAACTGGACTGTGGCGAAGAAAAAATTAAAGGTTGTACGGCATCAGTAAGTCTGCTTAACCGTTGCATACAATAAAGAATAACTTTTAAGACAACCTTACAGTTTCGATAACAACATGAAGCAGGGCTGGATTAACCACTGGGGAGGACTGGGGACCACCTTATGCTGGATGGCCTTTTTTTAACACATTGTTGAACGTCCTTTGCACCTCTAAAAAGCAAGTAGACATTCATTTCACTCGAGATTATAACTGGCCTCTGTCCAAGGTCTGGCGCTGGTCGTTGTTCAACACCATTAGTCCATTCTTATTACAGACATTGGACTATTTGTCCTGTTGTCGTCGCTTGTATTATCAGTAAGCAATTTGACTAATCAGGTGGGCGATCCCTTTTCTCTTGTTTTGTTGGTGGCCAAGGACCCTGATCTATTATGTCCACCCCTTAATCCGGCATTGACATGAAGCATATATGAATTGCACTAGCCAATTCTCTAATGGTGTTTACCATAAGTTAGAACAAAATCCAAAGAAGATACTGCTCAACATGTAGAAATGGGAACTAATAAAAAAATCCAATTCATTCTTCACGAATAGCATAAATCGATGAATTGTGAATATAGCTTGCTAATTTTTCATTCTTAGATACGAGCAACAAGATTAAATCTCTAAATTAATTAGATGTTGATCAGCCAAGTAAAATTAATACAGAAATGCCGTGTCAATTTTTTTCAAATCACTACTGAGAATATGTCTGGCCCAATTTGCTATACAATCCATACTTTCACCAAAAGTTCGACTCGTTTTTTAGATTCTTGACCCAACAGCATGTCGTGAAAAGTCAAAACAAATCTAATACTGCCTAAACAAACACTCCAAATCAACTATGTTGTGAATCCTTCTGGATTTCTTATCAATTCCTTGAATATCAATTGTTCACCTACGTCACTTTTTTATTTCATATAGTCCCACATAAAGACGAGGAGAGAAATGTTTTGAAATCAATCAAACAAAGTAATATTGGTAACATGGCACGGACAAAAGATGACTCAAGTCCCTTTTTACTGTTGATGAACAAACTGTCGCAGACATTTCCGTCGAAAACGAGGCAAGAAAACAACCATTTTTTCATACGATAGTCCTTTTTCATCGCAAGCATTTCAATTTTGTTTCGAAATTATCTATATCGACAATACGTAATTGACTGTCTTAGAGAGGAACTGGTCCAGTTGTTAAAGGTAGCCAAGGAGACTTTCGGAGATAAAGGTTTTAGAGGAAAGAAAATAGAAGAAATCGTTAAGCGAGTTAAGAAAATCACTGTTTGAGTACATAAGCAGGTATGATTCAATCTTCTACAATGATTTGTAAGCGTTTAAATATACTAAGACTACGTTTACACTACGCCGGAGCGAAAAGGTGACTGCAAAATTTGACTGCTTTTACACGTTTAAATTCCGCTGTCAAAATTCGTTAGTTGTTTGTGAAAGATGGCGCCATTTCTTATTTTCATATTGCTAGATGTTTATTGGTCAAAACAATGATTTGTAATAATTACAACGACACCAGTCATTAAAAGCTTTCCAAAACATAAAATGTTCCCCATTTTCAACTATGCGCTACCACAAGGGACAAATTAAAGAGAAATGGTATCTAAAGTGTAGCGAATAATTAACGGTTTGCTGTTTACATGACAATGCTTAGGCTCCGTTTTCGTTCGACTACGTTTAGAAAGTGTGGTCATATTGTTCCGGAGTATAGTATAGTTTTCAAACAATTCCGCTCCAGTGCAGTATAAACGGAACCCGGTTCTGTTACTTTTGCGCCGTCTTCAGATCGATCCGGAGTAGTGTAAACGTAGTCTAAGTAGACAAAACTGCACTTTTAATCATCCTTTTGATACCTACGATATAACTGCTAAAACACTAAATAGACTATTGTTAAAATCGACCAACCTAACACGAGCATATTCATCATTAAAGTTGCATCAGAGCCCAAAAAAATTTCCCTCGAGGATTAACTCGATGAATATTACGTTGGATATCGAATTTTTCAAACCTGTTTTAGTTTACGAAAGAATGCAGAACACGCATTATTGTTTTATATAAAAGCCCATCTGTGTAAATCTTTAGTTAAAGTTGAAGAACATGTTCAAAATTAAAAGCGACGGTCATTTTCCTTCTCTCTCTCTCCGTCCTACATGATGTTTTAACGATATGCTGTAAGTGATCCAAGAACATCGTCGTGGTTTACAAGAATTTTCAAAAGGGGTCATGAATTATTAAAATTTGTTCAGACATGTGCATTGGAAGATAAAAGTATTTTTATCGAGTAACTGTATTTCACTTTTCTTTATATCAAAAGTTAGCAACTCTGCTTCATGTAATTTCAAATCAAACGGACGAGAATATACTCGAGTATGCTGCATATGCATAAGAATAGAGAGGGCGGTAAAAATGCTGTTCTTATATTGAAGACATGTCGTTTTGCAGACACGTTTACGCTTAGCGTACCTATTTTTCATTATCATATCGATATCTAAAAATTTTGTGGTAAGCGTAATCGCGAAAGCTTAGAATTCAGACGCCATCTTGAAATGATTGATTGATAATTAGAGGGCTTATGACATCCAAAGATATTTCATCCTTTAATGACATGCATAATATTCAGGTATCTCTCTGTTCTGCTAAGTGATCATACGTGATTAACCATCTTTTGGTTAAACATTTTCAGAGGTGTCATGTTTCGCCCAATCATGTAAATCTTACAGACGAAAGTGTAGCAACCGCGATTAATTTGGCGAGCCTGGCATGACGGTCCACACTCTTGACTGGAGATGATTACTCTACAATTGCTATTTCATCTAGCCATAGCTATAGATCATGTACTTTATAATTTCAGTCATACGGTTTTTGTTTGCCCAGGCCTGACGTAAGATTGAAATAAACTCGGCTAAATCATTGTTAACGGTTTTCTGCGCAACGGTTAAATGTGACCTTGAAAATGCCATAGGAACTATCGAAATACAAAAGATAGTAGTAGAATAAGCTTCGTGTAATCAAATAATAAGTCTTTATAACACAACATGTACCTAAAATTATTTCATTTGATCCGATATGATCGCTAATATTTCGACAAGGCTGACGGGAAGTTTTATCAAAGCGTTGTAGAAAGACTTTTAAAAATAAGTGAACATACTTGGCGTTCATCCTATTGAACTTGTTAAGCTAGTGTGTAGTAGCTACTGTTGCTAAATAGCGTGTGAAAAAAGGATGCGTTGTTAAATGTTACTAATGCTCATTTTTGTTGCTTCGTTTTAATAGAGTCCGTGGATTTATGTCACTGACAGATTGGCCTAAATTGAGAGACACTGAAAGAAGAAATGTCCAAACAGCAAGGAATGCTACTTTTTAGCTGAGTTCATTATTTATTTACTGGCGGTTGCATGAATGATGTTTTTTGCGTTTTTGTTCACTTAAAGTCCATACAAGCTTGGCAATCAATAGATGACTTGTCGTGTTAGACGTTCTGTAAGGCTAAACTATTGCTGTATTGCAAACCAAAAAGGGAAATTTAAATCATAAAAACTTTACTAGAAAAGAAAGAAACTTCTACAAAACAGACGGACGTTCTTGAAAATTTGTTATGTGTTTATATAACTTAGTTATATAACATAATTTGTTAAAGATTATACTGTTTGCATTAAGTTGTTAAGATTATCTATTTCGTTACTTTCGTCGTACGATACCTTACATCAAAGGTACGTCTGAGACTATCTCGCGTATCTTACGACCATACAACATACGTGTCGCACATAAACCAATCACAACGTTACGACAAGTACTAACGAACATAAAGGACAGAGAACAACAACGAACGACAAGGTGCAGTTTACAAAATAAACTGCTCCGACTGCCACGCCTCTATATCGGGAAACTGGCAGGAACTTAAACATAAGACTTACTGAGCACAAACGAGCTACTAAGAAACAAGACAAAACTAATCACATTGCCGAACATCACCGAATCACAAAGCACAACATTGACTGGGACTCGGCAAAATGCATCACTTACAGTACTGACTATAGACAACGGCTTACATTAGAAAGTTGGTATACCAACTTGGAACAAACCCTGAACAGATCACAGCAATTACCGGCACCTTACAAACGACTTATTCACAATACAAACAAACGATCAACTAAAAACACTACACTTCAAACTAATACACAATTGACACCCACACATTACAACTAAAAACATCACACCTAAATCACACATCACAACTAAAAATAAAATATTTCACTTCACACTAATCCACAATGACAATACACATTTCCTGTACACACAATACAATGACGTAAGAACCAGATAACAAATACGGCTAACCTGACGTTTACTCCTCATTTGACTCTAAAGATGACTACCGCTAAGGTTGTCGAAACGTCAGTCAACAACAACAAAACAGTCCTTCTCAGGACTTTATTAACCTGGACGATCATCATTTACAAACAATAGACTGGATATAGCTTCTACAGGTATCAAAAGTGAAGCCTAATTATATCTGCAAACTTCACTTCCGGGTACCACGGCGAGATACACATTACTATAAAAATGTATGGCGGATAACGTTTACAAACATGGATTTTCGAATATTTAAGACCTTTCGCGACTCCTTACTAACCTCAAGTATTAGTCATGGATAAAACAGGTTATGCAAATCGATTTGACATCAAAATGATTCCTATAGCTGTAAAATATCGACGTTAGTGTTGATTTAAAAGTTGTACATGCGAGAAGGTATTTTGTCCCATCGTTGCCAATGCAAGATAGTTCACTGCTCGCTTTCCAATTTCTGAGGCATTTATGATCTAGTATACGTTTCAGTTCTTTAGAAATGAGGTGAGTTACTTTTTTATCA